AGAAAGAAAGAAAGAAAGAAAGAAAAGGCTGTTTAAGATTTCTTTAGTTAGTGTGTGTTTCCATGGGAAAATTAGAGACTTGACCGTCTCTAATGGCTGCGTTACATTAGATTCGAATCGGTAGATGCAAAATTCTGGCCCCGCTGATGATGAGTGCACGCGCTTGTACACAAAGGATATACAATCTCTTTTTCCTCTCTCTCTCGTTGTGTGAAGTTGAGGCTCTCCGGGCCTCTGTTCGAGGCACTGGCAACAGCGCCGGCACACGGAGTCCTTATCGCGACCGAGACTCGTTCGCATGGCTGTCAAGGGGACCGCCCGCCCGCCCGAGTCCTCGGTCACCCGCAGTCAATTTTAAAGCGTATCCGTGCTGTATGTGTGTGTGTAGGGGACGCGTGTATATGGGTGTGTATAACTATGCTCCGTAGCCACGATCATCGCTGCATGCCGCCTCTATACACGCCCGCTGTTTTCTTTCGTGGGTGGTTACGAAGAAACGGGGCGAGACCCTAACAACACGCCGGTGTTTCGCACAACGCATAGTTGGCCAGCCTGGTCAGCTCTCCCCCGTGGCCAAGAACGCTTCTTTGGATTGTGACGCACACACACCTTGTATATCGAGTTACTTTGAACGGAAGTTCAAAGGAGAAACTTGTTCAGAATTCAAATTGTTTGGTATCGACAATTTTCACAATGCCCGTAGCCGAGAACATTTGTATGAAATATTTTGAAATTTCATTAGCTCGGTGAAGGTGTTTCTTCTGAAAACAATTTGAGAATGTACAGCAGAATTCTGGATGTTTTTTTTTTCTTTTTTTCTAGGAATAGTATCTGCTCGAAAGTTTCATTATTTAACAGTGGAGAAGGACGTGCTTCTGTGTGGAAAACTCGCGTCTGTAAAAACGTAGATAGTATGTTAACAGTTCATTCATAAGCACGTAGCAATGGTTCTTGACCTTTATTTGAGAAAATACTGTTTAGTGTGTCGAGGGTTCTCAACCTTTACACATTGTTGAATAGGGGTGGAACCCAGCTGATTAGAGACTGTCTGCGATATTTGAAGTGAAATTGAATCGCGCTGCTTTGAATAACAAAAATCAAAAGAATGCGATGATGTCACGCCTGTTTTTTTCTCCAAGTATTGATTCCTTTCAACACGATAACAGTCATAAAGGTCGTGTCACGATGCGGCTTTATCTTTCATTACCGATAGTCCAAATGCGATTTGTATTATGCAGGGGCAGAGTTTTGTTGGACGGTCTTTTATTAGAGATATTGTATCATTTAGTACCGAGTGTTTTGGAAAGTTTCTTAAGATCAAAGGAAAAGCAATTAGGGAAAAGTATTCTGTTTAGAATACTAGATTAGGTCAGAAAATCCAGGGACAACTTGTCCAAAGTGAAATTATTTCCTTGATACACAACGTCTTGGCTGAAAGAAGAAACCTGCCAACTTTCACGAGCAATCTAATATAATGGATTACTTTACTATTCAAATACTTTTCTGGCGTTACATATACTTACCTTAAATATCTGTTACATGTTGCTTTCAAGTTTTATTGATACAACTGTGTTTTAGCTGCATTATTTTCCCAGATATCTCAGAGATATCTCAAACGCTCAAGATCTCTACTTGCTTGTGTAAGATATATAATACCAGAGCCAAGAATATTGATATTACCGTAATTTTTACATTCGTATGTCACGCTCAATATTTTCATTGGTACATTCAAACGACACGTGGGTTACCCCTCACAGTAGCTGCAACTGAAAGTTCTCTTTCTGCTCTGTGACTCTGCAATGCGACTCTCCACAGGCAACAGACGAACGTACTGCTGCGCCTCCAGCAACAATAACGTTTACTGCGTGGAGGGGTAAAACCAGACTCCAGCGGAGGAGGAGCGTCAAATACACGAGTATTTACGATTCATGGTGTACGTTTCTGACATGATAGCAGGTTGCGCTTCGAGTGTGGCCCGAATGGCTTGCTTTACGGCACTCGCAGTGCGCTCTGGTGGCACTGCCACAGGGGTTCTCTGGGAGTTGCTGATGATAATCCTGGATCATCCCAAGTGAATACCTGGCTTTACAAAATCGTTAACAATTACTACGAAGAGAAGTGAAAGGTGAAGGGGCAGACATTTCCATTTTTATATTGAACAATTGAGCGAGCAAAAATGAATCAAGTTAATTGATATATCTTTGTCTGTTTCGTTCAATGAAAGGGGACAGTGATAGATTTTGAAGGAGCGAAGCGTTACGTGGCGTTGCGCAGGGTCCATTCATCGAAGCCCAGATTCTTCCCCGTGAGCGAACGAATGTGAAGCAAATCGAATTACCGAATATACGATGACCGTCAGTGAAAGGAAGTCCGTTAGGTGTACCGAGGGATGCCTAGCTGTGCCGTCTAGGGTCTGAGCCGCGGTTCCGCGAGGTTTCCTCTCTTCTGCAGGTCTTCTCGCGTTTCCATCTCTTGTCGCGGGCGCGTCGATTCAATCTCATCTTTTGCCTGGATGAATAGACCACGGCATTATTACGGGAGGAGCATCGAGGAGTTATTAGGCGTTGTTATAGCTAGCGACCCCTCTCGATTTCTTCACGATTTTTCAAGTGGTTGAAATTTTGCAGGAATATCGATATATCGTAATCACCGGACAAGAGCAAAGATTCTCCATGATCTTAGATACTTAATCTCCTCCTGCATTTGGCATGGGAAAGATTCTTCAACTTGTATACAAAAGGATGTGGAGAGAGAGTGACTGAGATATGACATAAAATTGGTCGAGTGGAGAATTGTCCACGGTGTATTCTTCGGCTGTGTACGGCTTCTTTCTCGGCTGTTGCCTCTTATCCTGTAAAAGTATTTAAACGTCGTTTAGCGGCAAACATTTGGTCGAATCGTGTCACGCATTTTTACCGGCAGTCTTACATTTCTAATCAGTTCTTTTCTCCCTTTTAAGAATCGTTAGCTGGTCAACGTCAGTATCACAACGACGAAGATAAATTAATGCAAATTGTGTATTTTCAGGCGCAACGACCGGAACAGAGCGTGATGCAGGCGCTGGAGAGCTTGAACGATTCTCAGGTGAACGATTTCCTATCCGGCAAAGCACCCTTGAATCTCACCATGCGACTAGGGGATCACATGATGCTGATACAGCTGCAGTTGTCCACTGTGACACCAGCCTCGCCAACGGCCAATCAAACGACCAGCAATGCCACCGGGGGGCTAACCATTGGTGGAAATAGCTCGAACGGATCTAATTTATCCACCAGCCACGTTTCGACTTCGTTGCAAAGTAGACGGTCCACCGTGCTGGCTGCACGCTCGGCCAACAGCAGCAGCGCCTCTGCGAAATTACAAAATGGAGCGGCTGCGAGGACATCCTCTTTGATAAGCAGTCTGGCTTCGGCGTTGCACGCAGCGGCCAGCTGCAGCACTAGCCTCTCGACAGCGACAACGACCACCAGTCCACCAGTATGTTCAAGCCGCGCTGCAACTGCCTCCTCTTCTGTCTCCTCCTCGCCCTCCTATTCGCCGATCAGCCCGACACATTCGTCCTTCTGCGCCAGCCAAACGTCATCCGCCCGTACTGGCAGCAGCCATGGCTCAGTGTCGCCCAACGGGAACTCCAACGCCTGTCAGTCTTGCCTTCTCTACCATCATCATCACCACCATCACCACAGTCACCATCACCATCATCATCACCATCATCACCACCATCACCACTCAAGAAACAAATCTACTAATTCGTCCAATAGTTCCCAATCTTCATCCTTTTCATCCTCTGTGGACCACTTGCAACAACAATCTACCTCTACCGGGCACGGATGCACGGAGTCGTTGCCCTACGACGTAACCCCGCCGAGGAAAAAGCTCTGCACCGCTCATCACCACGGTCAACAGCCCGCCAATGGCGCAGACTCCACCAGGAGTAACAGTATGGATGGCGACAGTAGCCCTCAGAGTCCTACCTCTACACTGGCCGAGCAGAATTCCAAGGCTGCGACCTTAGACACCAGGGCGTTAGCTGAAGCTTCTCGTAACTTGACGCAGAAACTTAAGCAACTCTCCTCTGAGGTACTCACCTCGCGGGTCGACCTCGCAGAGGTATACATTGTTACCGATGCCAGTTCCCCCCTGTGTACCATTATTTCGTATACACACTGATAGAGCTGCGTGTGTGTGTCTGTTAAGGCCCCAAGAGATGTGAAAGAAAATGAATTTGTCAAATATCTTTGATTGTTTTGATAATACTAATGTATGAGAAGTTTTTTTGTAAATGTATCGAACGCTCTCTTAGATTCTTAAACGTCTCTTCTTGTTTTACACTTTTCTTTTTTCTTCTTTTGTGGTTGAAAGAATATTGGGTGTCCTCACTGCCCGGTGATTTTGTCATTATCAATCGAATGCATGCAAAGTATAAATTCTAAGCAATGTCTGTAACGTACATTTGAATCGAGAAACACGCACGGTGAAAGCTTTTAATGTGAATGTTTTCTTTATTGAATGGATAATATACAACAAAGTAACTAACGTGCAATTTTTGGGACGTAGGAAAACGCAAGACGCAGACAAGGTGCAATAATAGAGAGTATGCATCACCATGGGAAAGGTGTGTACTCTGGTACATTCAGCGGGACCTTGAATCCAGCTCTACAAGACAGACACGGTCGTCCGAAACGAGATATAAGCACCATCATTCATATTCTTAATGATTTGCTATGTGCAACGCCAGCTGCCACTGCGGGTCATTACAGGCATCATCACAGGCATTCTAGCAATCGTCAACAGTCTTCAACCTCTCCGTCCTCAAGTGGATCAACAACTACTGTGAATGGTGTCTCAACACCTGTTATTGGTTGTCATGATACTTCTAATCCTGGTTATTCTACCGGTACTCCTCTTTAGAAATCCAACTTACTTAAATAATTGCAAAGAATTTGAGTACTTCTCCTAGTACGTTCTATCACTTTAGCCAGCACTCGATGGATAAAATAGATCAACCGCGACACGTTAAGAGAAAAAAGAGATCTGAAATAACCTCGTTATTTTTTCGTTGCAGAGGAATTGTCAAAGGAGAACGAAGCGACTAAGGGAAAGATGAGACGTCTGCGTTTAGTGATGGAACAACGACGCGCAAAGAGAAAAGCTAGGAGACAAGCAGGAGCTGCGCCGTACACTACGCAGTGGGCGGCGGTGACGCCGGATCCAGATCCAAACCATGATCCGAATACCTCTAGTACCGGCGCCGCAAACGCAACTGAGCCTCAGAACGAGCCCGACCTGCAACCCTGCAGCCCTGAACCTGTCGTAGCTTGAACCAGTCGATTAACCGGCACGAAGAGTAGTAATTGTATAATGCAAACTCAGTTTTTAACTAGTGCACTGATTTATTCAAGGATAAGTGGGCAAAACCATTGCTTCTCACTGTATATTCGCTTCCTCGAGTCGCCAGGAAGAGTCTTTCGTTTCGACATGCGTACAGTAATTAGCGGAATTTTAATCTTGTTTATGCGAGAGCGAGAGAGAGGGGGGAGAGGGAGAGAAAGAGAAAGAAAGAGAGAAAAATAAAATATCCGAGTTATTTTAAATACGTTCACAAACGGCGGATTGGAAGTAGCGCTGTTCATCATATCTTCGCGCTGAAATATTGCAACGAAAACGGAGAGACTTGTTGGGAAGTTGTATATGCTGTAGCTGTGCACGTGTGCGACATTCTACACGCATGATCTTCAGTATTGCTTATGATACTTCAGTCCAAATATACTGTCGGAACTTTAAAAAGAGTCCTGCAAAATGCGAAACTTGAACGAAGCAGAGAAACTTAGCAATATTGTATAACGGAACGGCGTGCAATGTTAGGCATGATATAGAAATTATTAAATAGAAGTTTCACAGGAAACGCGTGTACATCTTCGCTGGGAACTTTTATGCTATATTTAATAGAGAAGAGAGATTCTAACGTAAAATGTAAACTGAATCGCATTGAAGAACTGGGCTGCAGTGTAGTATCCAGGCAGCGGAAATTTTCTTCTTTTCTAATTTGCATTTTCAGGGGTATTTTAAGTCTCTGGAAATGAAAATGAAGAGTTTTGAAAATTTAATCTAATGAATTGGTAGAAGGAGGTAATCTTGGATCGCTAAACACAAAAATGATGATCATTTATGACATGAATAAATGTTGAAGTGATGAGCATGACATGTTTTTGAAGTAATGAGCAGCTCCTTTTAAAGAGAAGGACTAGATAGATAACGGATTAAATAATACTGTAAGACCGATTTTTTAAAATTTATGCCAAAAATGACCTTCGTTTTTGTCTTTAGCGAGCTAAGGTAATTACGAGGACAGATATTTAAATGAAACTTTTACAGCTGGACTACTATCAGTTCATTAAAATTAATTTCCAGGAAAAATGACCATCATTTTCGTTTCTAGTAACCCGAAATGCTCGCAAAGGTACGAATTTAGGAAAAAAGGATTTCTGCAGCCAGGATATATTGTAGTATATCCAAGAACTGTGTTTTGGCTATTACTCAGGACTTGATCATAGCTGACAATAATTACACTCAATGAATGAATCAGTGTGACCAGCACATACAGAACAAAGAAAAAAAATCGACGGACGAATAAAACTACGGAATCCCTTATATTGGAGAAGAGAGAAAAAAGATGAATAATACGCTAGAAAAATTTCGTCGATAGATCTAGAGGAGCAAAGAGAGAAAAAAAAAGATCGTCACTTTGATCATTGATTAATTCCTGTTGCTATCGCCCGTATACTCAAATTTAGTAGACACGAGTAGATACTTT